GAACAAGGTTTTCTCATTTGATAATGTTTAGGACGAACTATCATTAATTATTATTAAATTATTGCCGTTTTGAAATTGATGATCTGCAAGGCGATGATCAAAAAACACTAATGTGTAATGTGTGTCATGTAATACGAGATCACGTTTATTGTCGATCACGTGATCACGACAATTATTTTTAGGTCAACAAAAAATAAAAAAATCATTGTTACAAATAAGTTATTACTTTTTTACTGCATTACATAATGTGGTGTTTTCCCGATGTTCATAATTTTCTAATTTTAGGTTAGGCTAAAAGTAAAGGAATTGGCATTGTCAATGTATTTCCTTTTATGAGTTTCAAAAAAAGAACAAATAAATCATTGATGTAATCTTAATGCATGCATAAATTATGCTTTATTCGTTTCAAAAGTCTCTTCCAAAGTTCAAAATTGTTCACTTTGGGATGTCATGGGAGGACTTGGTATTGTTACACAAATTACTCGTCGCAGTAAATTTTTTCTAAAATCAAACGGCTGGTTTGTCCTACTGAATACTAATGATTCCGATTGTATAATACATTATTATGCTTAACTTTTTCATACACAAATAAACTTTCTGAGAAGGCTGATCAGCTATTGTCATCACTACTTTTGGTAATTTGTGCGGAATTTAGATTAGTTGGAATTTGAAATGGAAGGATATAAGCTTTTCGAGAAAAAAATGATGGCGCAGTAAAATGATAATATTAGATTGTCTTTTAATAATAATGTGATTATTTTTAACTATTTAAAATATAAATTTATTACCAAATTAAACTTATTACTCTATAAATAAATCATTGTTAAAAAAGAATTTAATTGTAAGTTTATAATCACGAGTCACGACTCATTTTTTTGGACAAAAAAAAATTTTTTTTTCCGAAATTTATTTATTTATTTATTTATTTTTCGATAAAAAAAAAACCTAATTTTCACTAATGAACTTTCAATTTAGATATTTTTTTTTGAATTTAAGTCGATTCTCTAAACATTTTGAACATTGTACCGCACATAAAATGATTTAACTCAATCTC